TGCAAATGAGGGAGGGGTGAGAGGGGGTGGAGGGAGGGAGGGGGGAGAAGGAAGAGAAAGAGCTCCTGACAGAAGAAAGGTCGCTTTCATAGACGGTAAGGACGGTTTGAAAAACGTGGGTCGCTATCTCGGGTCCAGAGACCCCTAACGATTCCGACGGTAAATCAAATGTAACGCAATTTCTCAGAAAACGAGGAGAGGGAGATAAAGGGATCGGCTTCATCGTCCTCAAGTCGCCCCGGTCCTGGGTCCAGCTTTCAACCCCTTTTGCCGTGTCGCAGTGGCACTCTGTAAACTTTCCCCGGGAATGACGTACGCGGGAGGTCGGGACCACCCTCATCCCTCCTCTTTCTACGTACTTCGCTCACCCAATCCTCCGCGGTTGCCTGTGTACCTTATACGGTATATATACCGAATTTACGTGAATCCCATAGGCTACGTGCGCGCACGCGGCAACGTGAAAAATGAGGATTGCGCTGCCGTGGGCCAGGTATACGTCACGTAAATAGGTACATGGTGCATACGGAATCAGGATCAGGATCGGGATCAGGCGCGCTCTTTATAGCCTGGGGTTTCCGGATTATTCGAGACTCCTACTGTCTCAATCTAAAAGGATATATAAGATAACAGTGGATAAATGCGCATACGAAATAGGAGCGTAAAACGGATTTCTAAAATCGATTACGGCAATTACGAGACACTTTTATTTTTAACTCTTAGTACACGGTGATTTTCCAGTAATTTACTACACACGATGGATCATTCATATTCCGTGATTAATTTTTATTATATTAAATATACAAAAATTATTGAGTAATTCTTGCATGTACTTTAACATCTTTAAAAAGTACTTATAAGATTGTGTATTTAAAAAAATTATATATAAATGTTGTAATTAATTATTTTATGCTTCTATTATAGTTTTTCGAAGAAAAGAAGTGTGCAGGATATGAATAATCCAATTGTGTGTAGTGAGGGTTAATTATACATGACATGAGAGAAAAATATCGAAGTATTGTGAAGCAAATATTGTTTACATTTTCTTCGATATTTATTAGTTATAACAGAATTTGATTGCGATGGTGTATATATTTCTGTGAAATATATTTCATTAATTGTAAAAATATAAAATATTATAGATGGCTTATTTGCTAAAAATGAAATTTTATATTTTGCCGTATTTAAACAAATATTTATTTCAATGAAATAAATATATTTCACACAAATAAATTTTATGTATCTTTTTCTCGGTGTAATAACATTCCAATATTATTTCATCGTATATTTAACGTTCTTAAAACTATTAATTTCTATTAGTCTATTCCATTTTTATTGATAAATATCGCGTATTTATTATTGCCAGGAGACACGATAGTGCCAAGAGAATATTATAATGTTATAGAACATTAATATTTATGAACATTAACGCGAGAATAATCACCGGCAATATTTTTACATCTCGGCGATAAAAAAATGTGTGTTGTTGTAAAAAAAATGTGTATTATTGTTTTGTGTGAATATCATTTAATATAATTTTTTTAATAATTTAGACACGTCAAAAAAAAATTATCACAATTAAAAACAATTAGATTCTGCAAAACAAAATTTTGATTAAGAGTAATTTTTAAAGAATTGTAATAAAATTTAAAAATTTCAAAACGTAAATTAAAGTAAAAATTACATAATAGATGTGGCACGCCTAAACTATTCTTTAGAAACCTTCAAGTAGATGCAATTCCACTGGAAGCCCACAAGAAAGAAGCGTTACATTAATTAAAATATTTATTTAAAAAATACTAGTCATAATAAGTTATTTACTTTGTTTAATTTTTTTAAATTTATATTTTTTTTGTATAAGTTGTGATTAAATCTATGTTCATAATGTTCTCTAAATATCAATAAATTAAAAACAATCAATAATATATAATGTGTTATTAATGATAGTAATTTTAATTAAAGTATAAAACGCCTCTCAAGCGATTGTTTATATAAAAAATTAGACGAACTACTCTTGACCTAACTATTGTAGGATCACAAAATAAATGCGCTCATTTATCTACAAAAGTGAGGTGTAAATATGGACCATTGTTTTTATCAAACGGGAAAGAATATTGTGTTATTATGTTAATTATAGTGTATTACATTTATGTTGTTCTACTACATCAATTTTCCTGCCAAGTTTTTGTAATTTCCTGAAATAAGAAAACTAAATTAAATAATTACTGGTAAAAAACGATCATAATACAATTATTTACGGTATCATTTTAAATCTTTAGCGTAATATCTAGACTTATGTTATATGACATGTGCAGATTACAATATTACTGGAACCGTTGTATCACCGCCGATCACTGCTACTTTTTGCAACAGCGCATTTTACGGCGGTCATCGTCAGCCGGTCGGCGCGACGCGTGGTCGCCGAAGAAAATCTCAATCTCGTGCGTCGCGTATCTCGTTTACATTTACATAGAACGGGACTCGAATCGATAATGTGACACGGTCGGACGGTGCGCGCGCGAATGTCGCGACATTACACGGGCGTATCGGCGCCGCGGGTCTAAAATTAGACCGCGCGCTGGCAAAATTATCTGGTCGTTGATGTCTACTACGTATCTGCGCTTGCATTTACATATAGGAATGGCTCGGCGTTAAGGAGCGCTTTATTTATATCGCGAACGCCAAACCGCGCGCCTTCCCGACTGTCACGCGATCTCGCATGGCTCGGAGACGCGCGATCGGCTCGCGCTATCTAAAGATCCTTAAGTAAGAGACTGGATACCATTCTGTTTCGTTCCGCCATATTTGTCAGGACCTACTTAAAATAGAACGAGATGGATATCATGCATGAGATGGAACGAGATGTCCACGCATCTCGTTCTAGTAAGTTTTGAAAAATGTGCTGTATCAATCAGAAATCTAAACAATGTCCAATCTCCAACTTGAGGATATCTATCTCAAGCGATATCTAGAGATCCTCAAGACATTGGATATCGTTTAGATTTTGATTAGAGATCTTCAAGAGATTGGACACCATACATGGTTGGTCCACTGTTGTTTTTCAGAACCTGCTTGAAATGAAATGAGATAGATGCATGATTTATCTTATTCCATTTGAAGCAGTTCTTAAGAAAATATGGCAAACCAAACGTATCCAATCTCTTACTCGAGGATCTCTAGCGATACCCGACTAGTTGAGTGGCGTTTTTTGGTCCTGCGGAGTGAACAGCCCCACGATCGAGCACGAGCACGAGCACGAGCACGGGAATTAACTCGCGCTGGCTCGGAGCGCGATTTACTGATCGCGTCGAAAGGCTTCCCTCCGCGAGCGAGCCGCGTCTCCCTACGCGAGCGATCGATATCATCGCAGCACTCCCGGGCATCCCGCCGCCGAATCCCCGAGTGTGTTTTCTGTGCCAACGACCGCGCATAATCGATATTTCACAGTTCGAGCCGCAAAGAGGAAAAAAAAAGAGGGAAAAGAGAAATCATTTTATCGGTCGCGTCGGAAGCGCCGTTCCTACAATCGGCATGAACGGCCGCGACCATATATCCCGGCGTCGCGGATCGTTAGCCGCCGTAAACCACACACGCACGTTGTTACGTCTGGTACACGTGCGCGCAGACACCGGAATACACGCGCATACACGGGGGCTCACGCACATCGCCACTTCCCTTCCCGTGTAATGCCGTTAATTTGGTATTGTAGGCGATCGTGGCTAATGGTTTCCAGCCGGGGAGTATCGACCAAATTTCGATGACGCCGTATTATCGTCGTATTGAATGCGCTTTAATGAAGCGTGCATCCAGTCGAATAACGAATGTCTAACGACCCAGCCCAATTATGTGTTACAAGAAAATCGCAACATTGTCGCGTAACACGGGCGAGCG